CTGATTGAGTTTTTTTGGGAAATGGAGGAGAGAGAGTGTGTGTGTGGGTGATCACGAGTTGGGTGAGGGCTTAAATAGAAAAAGTTTAATAATAAAAAATTGAAATATGATTGATGATGAGCTGCTTAGTCTCATTTTACGGTGCGCGTGGACAGCCGTTTTCTTGGAAAAAAATGAGGAGAGAGAGAGAACGTGATGAGGGGGTGGTTGTTGGGGGTTTGACGAGGAGCAACAGCTTGGAGTATTTTCAAATAGTTTCAGGTATTTAAATAAATAGTTACGGTATTAAAAAAATTAAACCAATTATGGAATAATTATCTACAAATAAAAACGTACATGTTGTGCTAATACAACAGTTGATACGAAATAGTCGAAATATACCCATATTTTATAATTAAACGAGAATAAATAATAATAAAAATATATTTACTTACATTTAAAATCAAATAATTATGTTATAATTATCTACACGATAAAACGTACAAGTTATGCTAATACGACAGCTGATACGTAATAATTAAAATAATACAATAATTTACACAAATAATACGTAATTAATAATTCAACATAATACAAGAATTAATACGTAATAGTAATAATAATACCACGTATTATTTAAATCAGTAACACAACGGATAAATCCCAGAATTTTTTATTGCACTAAATTTATTTATAAATATCAAAACCATTTAAATAAGTATATAATCAGATTTTTAAATCATAGAAAATTCTAGAAAATCAAGAAAAATACAGATACTCTTTTAAAAATAATAATTAAATATTTTAAAATACCAAAAATTTATTTTAACTAGTATCAAAATTTTAATTACGGCCATTACACAATCCCTCCTAGAGCATATGTGGTAAGTAGCACCCGAATCCAACATCCACTCGGTGGAGTCGGCAACACCAACTGACGGAAGAGCTGGGCATGAATAGCCTGAAGAATCTGAATCTAAAACGTCGCCACTAGCCTTGGCAACATTCACCTCTGAAGCTTGAATAGCTTTCCCCCTATTCTTCCCGGCTTGTAATTTTGGGCATTAGGCTTTCCAATGTCCATCCTCTCTACAAAATACACACTGATTCCTACCAACTGTAGGATGCCCCCTTCTAGACTACGACCTTCTACCACGGTTTGGACTTCTAGCTCTTGCAACCAATGCCCCCGCAACCGGCTCAATGGAAGTCTCATTGTCCTTCTTTTGAAGTTGATAATTCACAAGAGCTGCGGTGACCTCACTATACGAAAGAGATGCCTTCCTATTAATAATAGTGAGGACGAATGTCTCATATTCCTTGTCGGGTAAGGAACTCAATAATAACAATGCATTGTCTTCATCTTCAACTATAACATCTACATTCGCCAAATCTGTAAGTAGCTTCGTGTAGTGGTTCATGTGATCACTAATGGATGTTCCCTTCTTCAATTGGAAGCGATAAAACCTCCTCTTCAAATACAAATGATTTTTGACGCTTTTTGTCAAATATTTGCCCTCTAGGACCTCCCAAATCTTCTTTGCCGAAGTATCATTCATCACATCATATTTTAGATCTTAGGTAAGATAAGACCTAATCACACCACACGTCGTTCTATTTATTTTATTCCAAAACTTATTATCAATGTCGGCTGGTTTCCCGTCCAACTTCAACGTATCTTCCAAATTTTGCGCATTTAGCGCATCCATGACTTCGCATCGCCAAAGTCCAAAATTATTTGTGTCGTTGAACTTTTCCACATCTATTTTCATAGAATGTATATTCAAACTTTGGACGGTCTTCACACTAAAAGAACCCTCCCCATTTTTATCTTTTCCGGCCATATATCTCGAAGCACCCAAACTATTACGGAACAAGCAAGAAATAGATCCAACTTGAAAAAGATAGAAACTTTACCACAAAGATCCTACCTTTATCACCAATCGAAGCTCTAGATGAACTTCCCAACTGATCTACACCTCCAAAAAGCCCAAGCGTTGCCCGGAGCTCTGATACCACTTGTTGGGGAGAAACCCCTATGCCGAGATCCAATCAGATAGCCGAGAGAGATAAACAACCACACCAAACAATAGCACAAACAATCAAACACCAGATTTTACGTGGTTCGGCGAGATGCCTACGTCCACGGGGCAAGGAGGGGGGAGTTTTCACTATTAGAAATCAATGGGATACAACTAGGGTTACAAATCTCTCATAAACCCTCAACAAATCAACTCTTAATCTCACCAATTGCTCCTATAATAGAAGCCTAAAGAAAACCCTCTCAATCTGCTCAAAGCCCCTTTCTCACAAACCTTATAATCGAGTTTGGGTATTTATAGAAAACTCAAACGAAATGGGTCTGGAAAACAGACCCAGCCCAAAACTGCTACGGCGGTCGACCGTGGCGGTCGACCGCGATGGATCGCGGTCGACCGCCACGGTCGACCGCCGTAGCGGTTTTGGGCTGGGTCTGTTTCCAGACCCGTTTCGTTTGGGTTTTCTATAAATAATATGTCTGCTTCCATAACTGCTTCTGAGCTCCATCTCTACAAATACCTGTTTGAACTTTGAAGTGTTCTCTACTTTTTCTTTCTGCTTCCAAAGGCTTTTAGTTTTTGGCCTCCTAGACATCTCTTTTCCTCTAAAACTTGAAATAATTTTTTCCTAAGATTTGTCCTGAATTTTGCTTTCACATCAAATATAATTTCTATGCTCTTTGTTGTTGTTGATAGCTGTCGAGTTGCAGTTTTCTGTTGTATGGTTTTGGTACTAGATTAGCAGATTCAAGAATGATGCTTTATTTCTTTTTTTTTTTCAGTAGCATCTTTTAGTCTTAAAAATCCAATCCTTTATCAAGTTAATGTGGATTCTGAATGTCCAGAATCAGACTTGCTCCCCCTTGTATGGTACTGAAATAAGAGGATAAAAGCAAATTATATCCAGTAATATTTTTGGCAGAACATGAAATTTAGAGATCTGTGTTTTGTCTCATAAATATATTCCCTTTAAATATAATCAAACAACAATAACTCCTATTTAATTAATCCGATATTACAACATGGCTTTCGTGGAGAGTTTGCCAAGTACATGTAATTCAAAAACTTTTTTGTAATCTTACTTAGATTATATCATGCTATTGCTATTCTTCTGGTTAATTAAGCAAATCATCCCATTTGCAATATTGTCCACCTGCTAATGCACGGTAGAAACGATCCCTGCAGTAAACTGGCCTTCCGTCCGCTGCTTCAGCTGCTGCTGCTGCTAGGTCATCATCTTTTCTTACCTCAGCAGGTAAACTCAGCAGCTCTTCCTTTCTATAGATTTATCAAACTGGTGTTAGGAATTCGAAAACCAGTGGAATTTTGGAACTAAATGCCTTTTCTGGAGCAGGAACAAAATTATACCTCATATTAGATTTTACTTTTGAAGCTGATATCTCTTCTCCATTTGGTGTTAACATTGACTGAAAGAAATCTTCTACCGGAGAAGCAAATATGAATAACGATACCGCGGTAACAAGTATCGCTCCTGTCCCAACTAGTGTCTGTTTCAACAACTTGATCACTGGCTTTACCTGATGATTGAGAAAGTATCAATTTAGTCCCTTGTTTCTAACAATGATAAAGCGAACGACATTTGGCAGGAGAACTTGATGCTGTTGTTAGTCTTGTTAAAATTAGTTTTTTTAATCACCAAGGAAGAGTTATCTGTTATTATCAAGTTTGTGTTACACTTCTCGTTTTTTTTTAAATCCTGTCTTTTTTTTTCTCGGCCTTTCCTTTCACGTAATCAATAGAAAACTTCATGATAAGCCAAACTTGGGTAATTCCTATGTCACTTAGAATCCAATCTAGGAAATTAAAGGGTTGTGGTTTTCCACTTTTGGACAACTGAAATCGGTTGCCATTAAGCTTCCAAGTGAAAGCATTTCTACAAATGTTTCTTCCAATCATACATTCTAGTTCTTAGGGTTGCTCGATGACTTATTTCTACAATGACTTATTTACCAGTCCTCTCTCTCTCTCTCTCTCATTAGTTAAGCTAGGGTCATGTCGCATCACGGCATGGCAATTTCTCTGTCAAGTATTCATAATAAGGTAACAACAGAGTTCCAACTTCCTTTCATGATCTTTACATGGAACTAGCTCCAGGCCATCTCCTTATGCAATCTGTGACCTCATCGAGTATTGACCTTTAGGTATAAATGATCAACATGATCAGCTACCTAGCTCTATCTACATTTCAACCTTACCTTCATCAGCGTCAATTTGTATACCTCAGCCCCTAATTTCTTCCTCTCTCTTTAATTGAATTTGGGCGTGAGAAGTTTCCACTTGGAAGATAAGTTTCTTTTCATCATAAATTGTTGGATGCTCTAAACATTGGCTCCATCCTAATGATAAAATGTCTGTCTTAGACTATGCACAGAACCAAAATGATCTTTGTGTAGGGGTAATCTAATCTTCTTGTTGCAATGTGTTCACTTCAAAGTTTGGAACATAGGATAAGCATTATTAAGTTCACGCATACCATACATACAATTCCTAATTGTATTTGAGTTGTGGTTATAACAATTTTCCATGAAAATTCAGATTTCAAAACTTTTTAGTTTGTCAAACAATAGAACGTGAAAGTATCGGAGGCTAAATAAACTGAAGCAATGGAAACCTCCAGCAGGCTAAAGTCACTGCTTTCGCCACTATTGCGTTTTCCCCCTTACAGATTCCTCAACAGCGTGAGTTGACCGGTAAACAGTAGATAAACGGTTGTTCATCAATCAAGGTCATTAGTGTAACGAATGGTTTCCTAACCATCCTGATATGCTTATTATTTTCATTCGACATTACACATTACTAATAACATGACAACTGCAATCTGGCTGAGCAATTAAATGTAGTTATACTAACATCAATAACTACGTGCATTTGGAGAGAATAGCAGTGACTTGTTTGAAATACATTTGTGTAAGGTGAAGAATCATGTTCGCATGCATGTTAGAATGTACCTTATATGACCCCAAAAGCCTGTCACGAGCCAAGACCTGAACAGAGAAAATAAAAGTAAAAAAACAACATCTAGGAATCATGGCGAGTTATTGTAAATAGTATTAATCAAACTTTAGTTCTGAGTTAGTCCATTCTGATTTCTGCGCTTAAATGTTACATCATTAAGCTTTCTAATGTCAGTGACATAAGCGGTATCGTAGGTTGCGAGCCAACCTCTGGTGGTTTTACCCACATTTGTCCATCATACCATCCACTTTCCTCGTAAGGGATCACTGCTGATAATAGTCTATCACCAACGTAACTCCATCCCTGTGGCATGAAATTATACCGAACTATCAGAAGACTTACCACTGCATTTACATAACTTGAAAGAAAATGTTGATTGAACTTTCGGAAATATTGAGGACACTTTTACTTCACCAACCCATCTGGTAAAGGCATATTAGGTTTAGTCCCATACTAAAAACAGAGTAGATGTGAGTGTTTAGTGTGTCATTCGGATTGAGTCCATTATCAAGCCCTCATTTGTCAACTTCGAACGTCATGTCGAAGTGTCAAGTAACTAGGTTTTGATGTGTGTATAATTGAGATAATTCTAACATCACTTAGTAATCCAAATGTCAAGCTACCAGATATATGCGCAGGACGATAAGAGACACGAGGAAGAGGGTTCCAATTCCAGCTGCTAGAACAAATCTCACAGGGTCCTGCATATACAAGAAGAGGGTTAGTAAGTCACGAGACGGTTGCAGTATAAGGATATACTGGGATTTTGTTAGACATATTACCAGAAGGACAAGTGATATTCTAGGCTTCGTAAAAACTCAGCCGGGCAGTTAAAGACATCAAGGACCTATATTTATCTCTTTAAATATGCATGTACAACTGATATAAAACTGTTTCTAAATCAAAGAAAATGCCTTTGCATTTTTTGTTGTTTGTCAAGTGGTTATACCACCATCTATGATTGCTATAGGATTTTCTCAAAACTAATTGCCGAGCAAATGTTATCCTGTGTCAGGTGAAGTCAAATAAACCCATTAATCATAGACTTGTAGTGCAGTCCAATTGGTGAATAGATGGAATGCATTCACTGCTGGAAAATATATCGGAAAAGAGTGAGTTTCTCTTTTATTTTATTTTCCACTTTATTTTATTATATTTTCTTTATTTGTTTGGTTTTTAATATGGCAATAATTCATGGTTTAATTATCATAAATTTATGAATTAAATCATGGTTTAATGTCTTACAATTATTATATGGTCATTATCACATTGCCTTATACTGGTTTTTATTAATTATGTCATTAAACATGGGATATTTTTATCTATATAATGGTGTTTGAGCTTGTAGAAGTATTACAAGAAGGGGGAAAATGAGAAACAAAGTTATGTTCTTCCTTTATTCTTGCTTTTCTTATTTTATCTCTCGATAATTCTAGAGTTACTTTTCCGGGCGATGTGTCCATTGAGCAAGTGGCTTGAGAATTTCTGTAACTTTAAGTCTTAGCTAACCTCAAGGGGGCTTTTACAGCTAGTTCATGGTTGCATCTATCTTTCTTTGCAAAGGTGGCAACTGTTGCTCCAGATTGTCGGATATTTTACATCAAAATAACTAAAACTTGTAAATAATCTAATATAAATAGAAAAAATTAGAGAAAACGATTGCTGGCATATGTAAAGGGGTAGTCATGATGTCACTGCCGTAGAGCACTAGTTGTTGCCTTTCCTAGAGGCAGATAGATGCAACCGTGAACTAACGGTAAAAGCCCCCGGAGGTTAGCCGGAACTCAAGGTTTACTGCGACTCTCAAGCCTCTTGCTCAATGGATGTGTTGCCCATAAAAGTAAGTTAGAATTATCAAGAGATAAAACAAGAAGAAGAAGAAGAAAAGAGAATTGAAGTTATGTTCTTCATTTATTCTTTATTTTCTTATTTTATCTCCTAATTATTCTAAGTTATTTTTTTGGGCAACGCGTTCATTGAACAAGAGGCTTGAGCTTCACAGTAACCTAACGTGTCGACTAACCTCGGGGGATTTTTTTAGTTCAAGGTTGTATTTATCTGACTCTGCGAAGGCGGTAGCTGTTGTTCTAGGACAATGACATCACAACTGCCTCTTTACATGCCAGCAATCTCTTTCTCTAATTTTTTCTATTTATATTTGATTATTTACAATTTTTAGTTGTTTTGATGTAAAATATCCAACATTCAAATATGCGACTAGTGGGTGTAAAGATAGGATGAATACAAGATAGCCTTGCTACTGGTCACAATATAACCTGTCCTTTATAGTGGATAATAGTGGATACTGCTTGCGAATGAATTCTGCTAATGTATGGATTGGTGAATGGTCCTCTACTTTCATTTTCATTTCCAATGAAATGGTCAATTTCATTAGTCCCATCCTCTTTACACGACCAGAAGCATAGTAAGAGAGGTATAAAATGCCTTTCGTGTGAATTTCTGGTCATGAAATTGCTGAAATTGCGTATTAATTACTTTTTGAAAAAAAAGGTCAATAAGCAGCCATTGTCAACAAGAAAAAGATTGAGGGGAAACTACTTTTTTGACAAACTGAAAAAAAAATGGTTTATACAGGTTTATAAAAAAAACTAAAACAATATATACATGCAGTCTTGTAATTGCCGGCTATCATAGCATATGATTTTCGCAGGATTTGTATTTAGCTTACCCTGGAAGGGTTGAAGCTTGCAGCTGAAATTGGTGCACCCAGAACTGTAAATGTTACCAGCCACAACCCACCAAGACGCAAGAAAAAGGATTGTGGACTCAGTTCGCCCCATGAGTAAAGGCTGCTGTCTTTCAAAGCTGAGTACTCGTTTACCTGTTAAAGTCCAATAAACAAGTAAGTGACTTCTATCTTCATGACTTCATTAATCTTTCACATGATCATGCAATATTTAATCGATAATTGACATGCACAAAACATAGCACCTACATTAATTTGCTTTTGCATCATAGCAATATTATTGTGGATAAATGTTCCCTCCCAAATGCTGAACTTGCGACCATGGCCATATAAGCTCGTCTTATTCAGTTTAATATTGCATCTTGCTGGGTTTCGTGGAAAATGTTAGGGGGTTTTGTGGGAAAACAAAGTTCAGAGCAAGTTTGTGAGATTTACCATAAAAGAATAGAGAAGATATCCAATAAACACTATAAAAAAAAAAAAGCAACGCTTAACAGCGTTTATTATTGCATTCAATAACATTTCTGAAACGTTGCAATCTTGAGCCCCAACGTTTGATACTAACGTTGTAGCTATTGGCTTTAATAGGATCGGCCTAAGCTTCTTGACTTGCAAACACCAGAGAGAGATTGACCTGAAGTGGCCGGACGTGTTTATGGAGAGACTGCAGGACTTACAAAAACCAGAACCTGCTTGGTATTAGCCGAAAAACAGAGAGAGAAGAAGGGAGGAGTTCAGAACCTTTTGCTGGAAATTTTCTTTTCCTTCTTTCGTACTTTTTTCATGAAGAGTATTACATGTATATATAGATAAGATTACAACTCCAATTCTTATCCATTAACTAGAAAACTATCTTCTAACTAGTATTCTATTCTAACTAGAATTCTATCTACTAACTTGAACTCAACTAACAATCCGGACTGATTAACAACTCACATTCTCCCCCTTAATCTGGACGAGACTCTAAGTTCCTTACTCCTAGTAGCTCCCGCATCTCGATGAACTTCACCCTTGCTAGTGCCTTCGTGAGAATATCCGCTCGCTGCTCGCTCGTGCTCACGAACTCCACTTTAATCTGTCCTCGCTCAACACACTCACGAATGAAGTGATACCACCATCTATGATTGCTATAGGATTTTCTCAAAACTAATTGCCGAGCAAATGTTATCCTGTGTCAGGTGAAGTCAAATAAACCCATTAATCATAGACTTGTAGTGCAGTCCAATTGGTGAATAGATGGAATGCATTCACTGCTGGAAAATATATCGGAAAAGAGTGAGTTTCTCTTTTATTTTATTTTCCACTTTATTTTATTATATTTTCTTTATTTGTTTGGTTTTTAATATGGCAATAATTCATGGTTTAATTATCATAAATTTATGAATTAAATCATGGTTTAATGTCTTACAATTATTATATGGTCATTATCACATTGCCTTATACTGGTTTTTATTAATTATGTCATTAAACATGGGATATTTTTATCTATATAATGGTGTTTGAGCTTGTAGAAGTATTACAAGAAGGGGGAAAATGAGAAACAAAGTTATGTTCTTCCTTTATTCTTGCTTTTCTTATTTTATCTCTCGATAATTCTAGAGTTACTTTTCCGGGCGATGTGTCCATTGAGCAAGTGGCTTGAGAATTTCTGTAACTTTAAGTCTTAGCTAACCTCAAGGGGGCTTTTACAGCTAGTTCATGGTTGCATCTATCTTTCTTTGCAAAGGTGGCAACTGTTGCTCCAGATTGTCGGATATTTTACATCAAAATAACTAAAACTTGTAAATAATCTAATATAAATAGAAAAAATTAGAGAAAACGATTGCTGGCATATGTAAAGGGGTAGTCATGATGTCACTGCCGTAGAGCACTAGTTGTTGCCTTTCCTAGAGGCAGATAGATGCAACCGTGAACTAACGGTAAAAGCCCCCGGAGGTTAGCCGGAACTCAAGGTTTACTGCGACTCTCAAGCCTCTTGCTCAATGGATGTGTTGCCCATAAAAGTAAGTTAGAATTATCAAGAGATAAAACAAGAAGAAGAAGAAGAAAAGAGAATTGAAGTTATGTTCTTCATTTATTCTTTATTTTCTTATTTTATCTCCTAATTATTCTAAGTTATTTTTTTGGGCAACGCGTTCATTGAACAAGAGGCTTGAGCTTCACAGTAACCTAACGTGTCGACTAACCTCGGGGGATTTTTTTAGTTCAAGGTTGTATTTATCTGACTCTGCGAAGGCGGTAGCTGTTGTTCTAGGACAATGACATCACAACTGCCTCTTTACATGCCAGCAATCTCTTTCTCTAATTTTTTCTATTTATATTTGATTATTTACAATTTTTAGTTGTTTTGATGTAAAATATCCAACATTCAAATATGCGACTAGTGGGTGTAAAGATAGGATGAATACAAGATAGCCTTGCTACTGGTCACAATATAACCTGTCCTTTATAGTGGATAATAGTGGATACTGCTTGCGAATGAATTCTGCTAATGTATGGATTGGTGAATGGTCCTCTACTTTCATTTTCATTTCCAATGAAATGGTCAATTTCATTAGTCCCATCCTCTTTACACGACCAGAAGCATAGTAAGAGAGGTATAAAATGCCTTTCGTGTGAATTTCTGGTCATGAAATTGCTGAAATTGCGTATTAATTACTTTTTGAAAAAAAAGGTCAATAAGCAGCCATTGTCAACAAGAAAAAGATTGAGGGGAAACTACTTTTTTGACAAACTGAAAAAAAAATGGTTTATACAGGTTTATAAAAAAAACTAAAACAATATATACATGCAGTCTTGTAATTGCCGGCTATCATAGCATATGATTTTCGCAGGATTTGTATTTAGCTTACCCTGGAAGGGTTGAAGCTTGCAGCTGAAATTGGTGCACCCAGAACTGTAAATGTTACCAGCCACAACCCACCAAGACGCAAGAAAAAGGATTGTGGACTCAGTTCGCCCCATGAGTAAAGGCTGCTGTCTTTCAAAGCTGAGTACTCGTTTACCTGTTAAAGTCCAATAAACAAGTAAGTGACTTCTATCTTCATGACTTCATTAATCTTTCACATGATCATGCAATATTTAATCGATAATTGACATGCACAAAACATAGCACCTACATTAATTTGCTTTTGCATCATAGCAATATTATTGTGGATAAATGTTCCCTCCCAAATGCTGAACTTGCGACCATGGCCATATAAGCTCGTCTTATTCAGTTTAATATTGCATCTTGCTGGGTTTCGTGGAAAATGTTAGGGGGTTTTGTGGGAAAACAAAGTTCAGAGCAAGTTTGTGAGATTTACCATAAAAGAATAGAGAAGATATCCAATAAACACTATAAAAAAAAAAAAGCAACGCTTAACAGCGTTTATTATTGCATTCAATAACATTTCTGAAACGTTGCAATCTTGAGCCCCAACGTTTGATACTAACGTTGTAGCTATTGGCTTTAATAGGATCGGCCTAAGCTTCTTGACTTGCAAACACCAGAGAGAGATTGACCTGAAGTGGCCGGACGTGTTTATGGAGAGACTGCAGGACTTACAAAAACCAGAACCTGCTTGGTATTAGCCGAAAAACAGAGAGAGAAGAAGGGAGGAGTTCAGAACCTTTTGCTGGAAATTTTCTTTTCCTTCTTTCGTACTTTTTTCATGAAGAGTATTACATGTATATATAGATAAGATTACAATTACGTTCTACTAACTAGTATTCTATTCTAACTAGAATTCTATCTACTAACTTGAACTCAACTAACAATCCGGACTGATTAACAACTCACATTCTCCCCCTTAATCTGGACGAGACTCTAAGTTCCTTACTCCTAGTATCTCCCGCATCTCGATGAATTTCACCCTTGCTAGTGCCTTCGTGAGAATATCCGCTCGCTGCTCGCTCGTGCTCACGAACTCCACTTTGATCTGTCCTCGCTCAACACACTCACGAATGAAGTGAAAACGTGTGTCAATATGCTTGCTTCTTCCATGGAAAACCGGATTCTTCATCAAGGCAATCGCGGACTTGTTGTCAACGAAGAGTGTAACCGGCTTGGGCTCACTCCCAATCACCTCGCTGACTAAACTCCTCAACCACAAGCCTTGGCACGCTGCTGCAGTTGCCGCCATAAATTCTGCCTCGCAGGATGATAATGCCACCGTCTTCTGCTTCTGTGATGTCCAAGTGACCAAGCTGTCACCTAGATAAAATGCCATGCCGCCTGTGCTGCGCCTGTCATCAACATCTCCCGCAAGATCACTGTCAGTGAATCCCACCAACTCTTCATTGCCTCGACCTCGTTTGTACACCAATCCGTAGGACATAGTACCCTTCACGTACCTCAAAATATGTTTGACAACTTGTCTATGCAAAACTGTAGGGTGCTCCATGTACCTACTCACAATCCCCACGGCATATGTGATATCGGGTCGGTGTGAGTTAGATACCTTAAGCATCCGATAATGCGTCTATACTCCATCACGTCCACCGGTGTTCCTTCAGAATCTTTTCCAAGCTTTAGCTTTGTTTCCATAGGATATTGGGTCGGGTTGCAATCCATCATGCCGAACTGACCCAAAACTTTCTTCGCATAGGCCGCCTGCCTTAGTGCAATACAATCATCTCGCTGATCCACCTCGATGCCAAGATAATAGGAAAGTAACCCAAGGTCACTCATCTCGAACTCCTTCATCATCTGTTGCTTGAAAAACTTTATCTCATCCGCCCTCGTGCTCGTAACGATCAAGTCATCTACGTACACGCCAACAATGAATGTATCCCCTCTGTTACTCCTTGTGTATACCGCCTGCTCCTGAGTGCATCTTGCAAATCCGATGCCCTTCATGCACTTGTCGAGGCGCGTGTTCCATGCTCGAGATGCTTGGCGTAGACCGTAGAGTGCCTTTGAAAGCTTGTAGACCTTGTGCTCTTGATTCTTCACAACGAACCCTTCAGGTTGAACCACATACACTACTTCCTGGAGATCACCATTTAGGAATGCCAACTTCACATCCAAATGGTGCACCTCCCATCCGTTCTGCACTGATATAGCGAGGATTATTCTGATGGTATCAAGCCTCGCCACAGGTGCAAACACCTCATCGAAGTCCACGCCTTGCTGCAGACGTACCCTTTTGCTACAAGCCTTGCTTTGTGCTTGAGAATGTTGCCTTCATTGTCCTTCTTGAGCTTGTACACCCATTTGAGACCAATAGGTTTAGAACCTCGTGGTAACTCCGTGAGTACCCAAGTTTTGTTCTTCTCGATGGCCTCCATTTCCTTCTCCATGGCAGTCCGCCATTCTTGATCTGTTGCAGCCTCACTGTAGCTCGCGGATTCTTCAGTGATCAGGAACAACTCCTCTGCAGGGAGATCAATCACCTCCGTCTCCGCATAGATTTCTGCAAGGGATCGATAGCGTACAGGAGTCATCACTACAGCTTCAGGAGGTCCGGACAGCTCCAATGCAGTGCGGCTTTCTGCGACTGCTGCAGTTCCTGGACCAGTCGGTGTTTGCAGACTGTTTCGGCCAGCTGCAGGTTGTTTTGTTCGGTCTGTCAACTGCCCAGATTGGCCTCTCGTCGGCTCCAATACGGCGGGGAACGCTGCTTTAGTAATTGTTCTTGGACCTGCAACCAGCTGAGGGCTGGTTCGGACAGCAGCAGTCCGTCCAAACTGGACTGCAGTCTGTCCAGTTTGGACTGCAGGCTGTCCAGTTTGGACGGGTGGAAATGCGCCGGCAGTTGTACCGGCTGCTGCAGTTTCACCTTCCACTGTTAACTCCATCCAACTGGGTGCTTTCTCGTCTCCGTTTGCGCTCCATTGCCATTCTTTTCCTTCCTCGAACACGACATCCCTGCTGACACGTATTTTGCTATGTTGAGGATCGTAAAGGCGATGCGCTTTGCTTCCTTCCTCTACCCCAATGTACACCATTGGCGTGCTCCGGTCATCGAGTTTCTTGTGTGAAGGACCTGCAATTCTCACATGCGCCACACATCCGAAAACTCTCAAGTGTTCTAGGTGGGGTTTCTTACCAAACCAAGCTTCGTAAGGTGTGTGGTCGTGCAACGCCTTGGTTGGTAGTCGGTTGAGGATGTACACCGCGTGCCTAACCGCTTCGCCCCACATGGTTCCAGGCATATGCATGCTCTTAAGTAGGCTTCTTGCCATGTCCATCACCATGCGGTTACGCCTCTCCACTACACCGTTTTGCTGCGGGGTGTATGGTGCAGTGAGATGACGTTTGATGCCGTAGTCTTCACACAACTTTGTGAACTCCTTTGACAAGAATTCGCCACCACGATCCGTCCTCAATGTCTTCACCTTGTGGTCACATGCGTTCTCAACCTCTGTTTTGAACTTCTTGAAGGTTTCACAAGCTTGACTCTTGGCCTTCAACATGTATACCCACATCCATCGGCTGAAATCATCAACGATAAGAAGAAAGTAGTTGTTCCCAGCAAGTGTAGATGGGGTGATAGGACCACATAGGTCAGCGTGTAGTAACTCCAGCGGCTTCTGAGCTCTGAAATTTGCTTGCGAAGGGAACGACAGTCTTGCTTGCTTGGCGACGAGGCATCCTTCGCATAGTTGATTCGGGTGCAAGATCTTCGGCAACCCGGAAGCCATCCTCTTATCAGTCATCATCTTGAGGGTGAAGAAATTGACATGCCCAAGGCGAGCATGCCATAGCCAAGCTGGATCGTTAATATTCGTCATCAAACACGCCGGCTTGCAAGTTTTTAACTCTATCCTGTACAATCGGTTAGTTGAACGTGTCACCCTCATCAAGAGAGCACCGTTCCTATCAAACACCCTCAGGAACTCGTCAGCAATAACAACCTTACTCCCATCTTTAGTCATCTGACCAAGGCTAATAATGTTAGATTTCAAACTTGGAATATAATATACCTCAGGTAGTAGCCTTTGATCGCCGTTGTTGCACTGAAAGAGGATAGAGCCTTTTCCCTTGATCTCTACCGCGGATCCATCACCAAACTTGACGGTTCCCTTGATGTTCTCGTCAAGCTCGTTGAACTTGTCTCGGTGGCCGGTCATGTGATTGCTAGCTCCGTTGTCAAGGTACCAAACGTCGTTGGCAACTTGTGCCTCCCCCGCTGTAAGTAAATCCGGCATCACATTCTCCTCATTAAGCAAAATGACACTTGACGATTCCTCTAACATAGCCATCATCAAGGTTGGCTCCTCGTCATATGCACGGGTGAGATGAGCCTCCTGTTCATGGTTGCGGCGTTGCTTGTGACACTCCGACTGAAAGTGCCCGTATACTCCGCAATTGAAGCATTTGATGTTGGATTTGTCTCGACCACCGCTTGTGCTACTCTCCCCCTCCTGGCGAGCTGCACCTCCATGGCCGAAACCACCTCCTGGACGTCCTCCTCTGCCGCCGAAGCCGCCTCGTCCTGCCTGGCCGCCGTGCTCCCCTCCGCGGCCTGCTTGGGCAGCGTGGTGCTGCTGCCCGCTGCCGTGGTACTGCTGTCCGCCTCGGCCTCTTTGGCCACGGCCACGCCCACGACCGGCCCCGCGACCTCGTCCTCGTCCGCTGCCATCATTGGGTGTAGTTGTTGAGAGGAAGCCTCCGCCGTTGTTCTTGCTCCTTGCTTGCCACTCCGCATGCGTCAACAATAGGTGATCGTCGACGTTGTTTCGAAAAACACGTGCCCTCTCCTCGTGGGCTTTGAGACGCCCGATCGCCTCCTCGAGTGTCATGTCGTCGATGTCCCCGAACTGTTCAATCGTGGAGACGATGGTAAGGAATCTCTCCGGTACCGCCCGAAGTAGCTTTCTGACGACGTAGTTCTCCTCCATCTCGCCGCCTAAAGCCCGGATCTTGTTGACGACTCCTGTCAACTTCATCGAAAAATCATCGACGTTGTCATTCTCCTTCATCCGGAGAAGTTCGAACTCGGACTTCAAGGTCTGCACCTTCGCATTCCTCACACGATCCGCACCTAGGTGCATAGTTTTCAACGTCTCCCATGCCTCT